TATCTTGAAATTCGAGCAAATTATCTTTTTTTCACGTGTAGTATAGAAATTTGTAATAAGATACATAATGCAGTTATAATAAAATATTGTGCGATTATTTTCTTATAATTAAAATTAATATGTATTTATTTTTTAGAAAATACAAGAGAAGCAGCACTTCCACCGCTTCCAATGACGGCACACCACTGGAATATACTACACATTTTCACTGCCAAAATAAAAATGTCTGTTGTCATCATATATAAAAATAATTATTGATGACAATATAGCTAAATCTATTCAATCTATTGATCTACCATTCATTGAATAGCTATAAACATACGTTGCATTAAATGAATATTTGTTCTAGTCAGATGCTAATGCTTTAAATAGATTCTCAGTAAATGCAATTATATAATTGTTGTTGTTAACCTTTGGGTCAATAAAAACATCAAGTTGATTTTGGCATACCAAGGATTTTAGACATCATATCAACAAAAACTCATATATCTTCAGTAACCGATTTTTTTCAAAAACTGTCATTACAGCAAAACATTTTTCCAAATGTTTAACACCAATCAATTTACCCTAACATATAAATATTATCCTAGTATTAATATAAAAAACTGAAAACTTTGATATTTTTATTTGATATAATAAATAATTTATTTAAAGTTGCCTCAATTAAAAGATAATAAAATTAATATTATAATAGCTTTGAGAAATTTGTTAATTCAGATGTTTTACAGGAGTAATAAGCTTGCTTAGTTTTAAAATCTGTTTTAAAATATATGACTTAACAAAGTGTCATTTTGTTATGTTTTATATTCTTTCAGATAAACTAGCATTGATGTTTGTATGAAAATCATTCTCAAACAATAAATTTCAATTATTAAAATCTTTTCTACTGATCTTATTTATCAGTGTATCAGTTCAACAAAATTTTGAAATGACATGACATAACATGATAAAATCAGTATATGATTTTCAGATGATTTTTTCTTATCAAACCACCACATTCACAAAGAAAAAAACATTCAGATAAACTTAGTTATATGTACTAAGAAAATGTCACTTGAAAATCATATGCTCTTTTCAATTCAATAATGATCTGAATTAAACTAAATCATGTTCACAGTTCTCAGATGATGTAGAAAACATATAAAATTAGATACAACTTTGCTTTAAATTTTTAATTTTTAGTTTTTTGATAAGCTAAAGTCAAATATAACATTTATGATTTTACTATTCATGACTTTGATAAATCAAACTCCTTCTTTCCAGTTAATTCTTTACGTTTAGAATAAAATAAATAATTTAAGAAACTTCATTATAATGAAATTATAAATAAAACAACCCAACTCATTCTCTCATTAAATAGATCATAAAATATTGGTTTGAGCAATTACTTCATAGCTAATAAGCACATTAATTTTATAGTTTATTGCTAGTTTGCTTTCACATTTCTATAATTCTTATTTTAATCAATGTAAGATCAAACATGTGATAATGCTAACATACAGTAATATGTTAGAAAGTAAGCAAAAATAATAGCAAAATAAGAATACTTATTAGTCTATAAAGTAAATGTTTTGTGTACTGTTTAGGAGAAAAATTGCTTGATACATAATTCCATTATAGCATATTTCTTACAAAACCACTATTGTTTTATATTAGAAAGAGGTATTTTGATTAATTGAATTTAAAAATTAGAAGTTGCAATATTGTAACTGTTATATTTATAATACTGTAATTTGCCACAATTCTTGAAAATTTTTGAAGTCTAAACATATGTAAGAAAATACTTGATTAAATTATGTTAAAACATTCTGAATATACAAGCAGATATACATTTATTTTTATACAAAAGATTGATATTGATATTAATGTAAATTATATTGAAAAAGAAATTTAAAAATAACTTACAAATACATCATCTTTTCATTTGTATTTTTTAAAAAATATAAATTTATTTGAATAAAAAAGTTAAAAAGTTTCAATGATGAAAATCAATTTTCACTGACCTTGAATGCTTTCAGAATTATCTTTCAGGCTTGAGCATAATACATGATTTACTTTTACTTCTTCATCTCCTTTTTTCTCAATGATTTGTTCAGTTTTCTTTGCATTAGAATCACTTATTCTTATATTTTCAGTTTGAGTAGATAAAATTGTTTCTGTCAGGACAAGTGATGTTAAATCTGTTTTAATTAAAGTACAGTCTAACTGTTTATTGTGAGAAATAGGCATATGGTCTTCTGTTGATACTTTCTTATCACACATAACTAAACTAACTGAATGACTGTTACTATTTTCACATTCCATTATACAATCTTCAGTCTCTTTATTTGCAGGGATGGAATAATCTTCATTTTCAATAATATGTAACAGTGCATTTTTGACCACACTTTTAGATGCAAAATTTTGTTTAGGTGAATTTAAACAATGATTTGAAAGATCAAAATCTTTAGCATTACGATCAGCACAGGCCGAAAGAGAAATGTGTTTCTGGCAATATAGCCTTTCTTTAGTGTTTGTTTGAACTGTAGGGGCACTTTCTGAAGTCCAATCTTCAAGATCTGGCAAACTATATGAATCGTCATCAATTGTTGTTTCAATACAATGTTCAGCTACCATTTTTCTCATCATTAAGGTATTGTCATTATCATTTTCATGCTTAATAGGCACTCGTCTTTGAGCTACATCTAACGAATTCGGATGATGTCTTCCGACAACTACCGGATCAGCCCAATTACAACGGTTTAAAGAATTTCTTTGATATTTACAAAGTTGTGTATGATACTGGTTAATGGATTGCACAATTCTAGATGTGTAATCTTTTGGATCCATTCCATTTGGACAAAAGAAAGGCACTTTTTCAACCATCTAGAAAAATTTGATATTATTTTACAAAACTGTATTTATAAACATTTAAATTGTTAACAAAAATTCAAATTTATTTAAATTAAATTTTAATGAAAACGGAAATACTATTTCTAATATAATTGAAATCAACACAAAACAGTATTTAGCATAATAGATAAATTGATCATATCATTAAGGAAACACACAAAAATTAAGTGAAAACAAGTACTGTACTTTCACCTTAATCATCTAAATACATTTAACTTTACAAAATTAAAATATGTGAAAGTAATCAATTATTGACTATAGTTGTAAAAAGTTAAATATTTATTTTATTTAAATCATAATTCTAAACATCTAACATAGCAAATTTGTTCATTGTCATTTTCTGTTATGCATACATGTTTACTATTAGCGTTAAATTTATCATTATAGGTGGCATTTTCATAAAAACTTGTTACACTTATAGCATTACAATTTGAAAATTATACTACTGACAGATGAAGCCAGAACTTAAAAGGAAGCACGTAATGTAATGAAACAAAACTGATGACTGAGAAATATTGAAATGATCAAATCTGAAGGTCATACAAACCTTGAAAATTACTTAATTTGTTGGAGACTCCTGGAATTTGGCAAAAATTTTAAAATTCTCAGACTCCTAAATTGAAGTTATTCTTCCCATATTTACTCAGCCTAACAATTACATATTAAAACATACTAATACATATTAAAACAGACTAATGTATAGGAGGCAGTATTTTGATATTGCTGTGAGTAAAAAAAAATGTCACGTCTCCTGGAAGGGAAATTCCTGGAATCAACTCTTCAGGAGTTGGCAAGCTTATTTTGGATTCAGAAGAATTGGAAAGTTATTTTATATGTAAATTTGTGCACAGAGCTGCTAAGGAAAAGGAATGCTTATACCAAACCATCAAATTTAATATCAAAAATGTTCCAAATGCTAATTTCAGATGTATGTTTAAATTACAATTCATGAATTGATTTAAGACTTTAGGCATAAAAAAATCTAGCAACGAGTTGCATAACTTTTCTGACTTTTATAAGATTTAAAAATTGCATTTTTATTATTAAAAATATAAAAATGAATGTATGTGTGTTTGTGTGTGTGTCCTTCATGCATTACCACACCGTTTATCCGATTGCCGTGAAACTTTGGGAAGTTGTTTAATATACTCCAGCGAAGGTTTGTGGCATAGTACGATTGCCATGAAACTTTGGAAAGTTTTTAATACCCTCCCGCAAAGTACATTTATCCTACAATAGATGGCGTGCGTTTACACGAGCGTTTGAGCACTGTGTGTTGGATCCATTTCAAATTGTGAAGACCATTTTCCCCTTTCAAAAAATATCTCTGTATATGCATTTGTTATTTACGATATTTGTAATAATTTTTGTTTAATCACTTTATTTCAACTTTTTTTTGCTAATTATGTATTCGCTCGAACTTCGTTAAAACCTTAACTGTACCCCGAACAACAACCGAAGTTGTAGGAAGAAATTCGCGTATTTTACCGATCTAGGTATCCCCCTTTTCCAAATTTTAATATCAACTCAAAATAATTTAAAAAGACAAATTACAATAAAACGGTTTATTATCCAACTATCAGAAATTTCACAACATGCCAAGGAAGAGAGGAAGGAGCAATTAAATAATTAAAATTATAAAGGATTAAAAAATATATATAAAAATGGGGAATATCGCACTTCTGACAATCGCTGCGAGTGTGTGGGCTAAATTTGGAGAATCCGTGCTTCTCGCATGGACAACTGTATGTGGCCGGCTCACGCGTCGAAAAACCTTCCGATTTATTCGTGTACGCACCAGACGGAAAAACAAAAAATATCGTGTATCCACAAGCACTCCAATAAATAAATAGAATTGAAATGACACTTTGAAATGTTTTCCCGATGAAAATGAATAATAATAATAAGTTTCAATAAAAATGATAAAATGTAAATTGAATTTTATCATAATGAGTTTGCTTGAATTTCCTTTCTTCTGAGATCGCAGCAATGCGCAACGGGTAAGCTAGTTATTAAATAAAATCAAAATAAATAAATAAAGTTGTGTATGGTACCATCTGTTATGAGACTTTGTTATAAAAACTTTATATATTTTTAATTATTATAACATAGCAAAGGACTTATTTTGAGGGTAAAGATGAGTTTTATAAAACACTATAAATGCTAACCACAAGTAAAATCTTCATCAAGTCTGATCCCTCAAGATATATCACATGACCATCCTCTATCTCTCCATTCCCTTGACCTTTCACAGCAAAAATTTAATATCATTAATGCCCCTTATATAGAAGCTACCAAGCCAAATTTCATTTCTTTATCTTTGCTCCATCCTGAGATATTAAGCAAAATAGATGCCAACACACACACACATCCACGGCATCTTTTTGCCCTTTCTTTTTTTTTTTTTTACTTTTTTGGTTCAGAGGATCTCAGGTGGAGATTTGAAAAAAACAAGGTCAAATTTGACATGATTCCCATACTTTCCCTTATTACATATACATAACAGCCAGTTAAGTAAAAATGAAATTGTGTCTTCTCACTTATCAAGTTTGAAATAATGATGTCAATCTTTTACTACATCTTATTGACCCCAATATAAGCAAAAGACTACTACAATTAGCTACCATTACAACCTTATTTTATAATGTAAGCTTATAACAGGAGCTTCTCTTATGATGTTATGAATGTTCATAAGGTTATAACAAAGTTTTTTATAACAGAAGATACTGATGCACAAACTCACTAATAATGCTTTTTATTTACTCTTATAGTCATAAGGACCTTATTTCATTACAAGTGTTCTGCTATTCTTTATTCATAACTTTAAATTCCTTAAATGCTCAATTAAATAAAAGTAGTTATAACTAATTTCATTTAATTTTTTGTGTATATTTATTTGAATGTACTGCTAATTTATGCACTGTAGAGTTTATTAATATAAATAAACTTATGAATAGTTATTTCTATTATAATTTATTTAATAATTAAATAATAATCTATCAAAAAATTTTATTTACAATTAAAGAGAACATACAACTTCTTCTGTATAACCAAACTTTTCTTAAATAATGATCAATGAGTTCATTTACATTGTTAATTTTTATAAAATGAATTTCATAAAAATACATTTGTTACAATTTTGAAGTTGATTATACAGATATACACAATGATAAAGATTATACATAAAAATATAAAGAATATAATAAAAATATATCTTATATTCTTCATATATATATGTGAATATATATGAGATGATCATATTTTGTCAGTTCATTAATCCATTCGATTAAGTACTCATTGATTTCTGTATAAACCGTATATTTACCAAAAGATGTACTAAAAGATTTAGAATTACCAGAGTTCACTCAGATTAATATCAAAAAGGTAGGAACAAATCTACTTTTAATGCCAAACTAACCTAATCATTAACTAACTTAAACAAAAATCAATAAAATAATTCAAAAATACATTTTTTTATTTGATCTAATAAAATCATAAATACAATGGAACCCTGTTTATCCAGATCTCTGGTTTATCCAGAATAAGGAAGACAGACATATAGAAAACCTATATATGCAAAAAAATCAAAGAACTAACTTGTTAGTAGTACATTCTTGTCTGACAAGTGAGTATAATGTGGCAGCTGTAATAATACTGTTTTCCCTTGGCTCAATGCCAATTCCAAACACCTGTAACTTTATAACTAAGGATCTGGTAACAAAAATAAATACAGTACAGTAAATCACAATTACTTTGTTACAAATACAAATTATTCCTTTTGTTTTGGTACAGAGAGCTAAGGCTAATTACCAATTGACCTTAGAAAAGTTCATATAGAGAAGTTCTACCCCACACAAATGGTCAGAAAACTTATGTACATGTACTGTACCAGCTGATAGAAAACAATAAACTGACATTGTATGTAGATATGTCTTTTGCTTTATACTGTTACTATTGTTGTAAAACTATATATAATATGCAATAAATAAAATAAAATAAAATGTAAATCTAAACTGTGTTATTTATGTTGTTAACAAATTTTTCACACTATCCAGATTTTCAATAATGCAGATTGGGCCTGGTCCCATTTGAGATGTAATAAAAAACATTTGAGGTTCCACTGTAATATAAACAAACTAATATATTAGGCTTGGATTATAGTTTTTTAAATAAATTTATTTTTTAATATCAATTGTATTTCTTTATATTTTTAAGCTGAAATTGAAATGTTTAAATAAATTTTTCTTCTAAAAAAATGTAACTGTTTTGGTTTAATCATAATAAAATATATATACAATAATCTTAGAACAGTGATAAAAGACAAAGTAGATAAATAATTCCACATTGATAAGTTTATACAGGATGATTCACTCAGGATGAACACTTATTTTACAGAATATCTCTATGTAAAATGACAAGATGAGCATAAAACATGAATGTAGTGATTCTTTATTTCATGATAAAGTAGTCAACCCAAGTATGTTTTACATTACATGTTATTCAAATGTAATTGTACAATCATAAGGTATTTAACAAAGTAAATGTTCAGTCTCGAGTGAAACACCCCATATTAAATACTATGAACATCTCAAAACTGCATGAATAAATCTGATTGGCTTACCAAAGAATTAATTCTATTCTTGATAATGTTTAATTAATAACTTATATACCCAAATATAAGAATATTTGGGTATATAATATCAAAATTACAATTTTGGGTATATAAAATCAATATTAATTCAAGTATTATCATACATGAGTTAATATTGATTTTTATTATCTTTAGCTTTTAACACTACATTTATAATATTTTAAATAAATTTAATTTACATTTAAAAATTATTTTAATATAAAGGTCAGTTCATACCTTACAAGAACAGAAAAGAAAAGAGAAAAAGACACTAAATAGGTTTAACGTGCAACATGTTGCACATTACTAGTGACATACTTCCATTCTCTTTCGGTTAGAGAAAGAAGTTGACAATGTTTGACTTTTCTCTATGTTGGTAGCTCACAATTCTTTGCATCCTTCAATATGAAGACTGATAAAATTGAAATAATTAGAATTAAAATAGAATTATCTTTGATGAATCATAAATCATCATTTATATATCTTAAATTAATGAATAGATATTATCTTTACACGTACATTTAAAACTTACCTAAAATAAAAATGTACATCAGGTGCATCTTCCTTAATTTCTTTTATAAGATTATAAAATAAATTTTTTTTTCTTTTCAAATTAATTAACCACATGTGCTCATTTTTTTTAATTTTATGACTTGTATATGCTTTCAAAGCACATTTTTGGCTGTAGCTATGAGATGCTATATTTTAAATTATATATTCATGCTCTTTTGTTGTCTTGAAATACAGTAAAACTCCAATTATCCAAACTTATTCATTCTGCGGGTGATTTGGATAAATGAAAATTTAGATAACATGTAAAGAATGAAATTACAGGGTAGCAGGAAGTATTGCATACATACTGTATTTATTTATTCATCAATATGCAAGTAGCATCCAACTGATCATTTAGATCTGTCATAGCAAATAGGCTTATATAGAGAGCATCATTTCAGGTTAAAAAAAAAATGCAGCAAAAACAATTGCCTAGCACTTGAAACAGTTTCTGGCAGCAAGGTCTTAAAGGCATTTTAGTGTCAACAAGTGTGACAAAAAACATTCATTTTCAAATCACTTCATTACTATCTCAAGACAGTTAAAAGCTTCACTGTGTGATGATCCAGGATTGTTGTTTAACTCTTCTTCTGCTACCACATTCTCTTTGGAAGCATCTTCTCTTCACATGCTTTCTACAATTTCTTCATCATTCAAAATTTGGAAACCATTATCACTGCATCACTTAACCAATTTTCCATCTCCTGAATTCTGCACTATGAAAAAGCTGAAATGCCCTCTATTATCTCATAAATGTCATTGCAAAATGTTTCATTGGCAAACTCGAACATGGCATCTCTTCCACGCAACTTTCTCCATGTTCTGTTCAAAGTTTCTCACTTAATAGAATTCCTTGAATCAACCAATATATACATGCATTCCTTAACATTAAGACACTTGTGAAATTTCCTCACATCATTTCCATCACTGTTGCACAGCAACAGCAATCACAACAACTGTTTCACGTACTAGAGTTTCATAGCTTCAATAATGCCCTGATCCATTGGCTGCAGGAACAATGTTACATTTGAAGAAAGGAACATAACTTTAAATTTTACTTCATCTTTTGTCAGTTGCTTGCTGTTAGGGTGAGATGGCACAAGATCAATTATTAACAGCAAGTTGCCATATTTTCCAGTCCACTTTAAATATTTTTTCACTGTGAAATTGAAGATTTCATCATATCATTTAATATAAATGTCTGCTGGCATCCATGCATTTTTCTGGTTCATGCATGTGACTGGTAAACCTTTCACATTCTTTAGAGATTATGGACACTTCATTTTCCCCAATCATAAGCAGTTTTCAATCTTTGTTTTCCAGTAGCATTGGTGCACACCATCACTGAAACTCATCATTACTCATTTTTCATCCTAGAGTGACGCCAGTGTCTTTTGAGGCAGAGATTTCCAGTTTAACCCTGTCTCATCAGCATCACAGATGAAGTGATGACTGTATTTCTCTCTGATACAAGTTGTCAATTCAACAAAAAATTTTTCAGCATATTCTAACTTCACAGACAGCTTATCACCGTGAATCTCAAGTTCTTGGATTCCATGCAACTTAAAGTTGTGAGGCCATCAACTGCCAGCTTTGAAGTTTTCATCTCAGCCCAGTTTCTTGTTGAACATCAGAACTTTCTCATAAAAAATTGGCCCAGATATTGGGTGTCCAGCTGAATGCTTTTGCATGAATCATTTATATGTTGCTTTGTCAACTGCAGCATCATTCACTTTTTTCATTGTCTTTCTGTAAAACAACCATCCTCACTTTTCAGGGTAGATGCAAACTGCAATATTGTGTCATCACTTTTCTTAATGTTTGAAACAGCAGCTTCTCTCATATATTTTTCAGCAATAAATTTCTCGGATTCTCTTTTTTCAATGCATTGACAATCTCAATTTTTCTGTCATGGTAACAAAAACACATTTTATTCATTTCATTGCATTCTCAGAGATGAAAAGAATCACATTCACAGCAAATGGAAGGAAATTGCAGTGTGACATCAATGGGAGAGAGAAAGGAGAGCAAATGGTAATTTGGATAATTGGATATTTGGTCAATTGAAATTTGGATAATTAGAATTCTATTATATGAACACTTATGTGCAGAGAAAAGAAAAGACATATTGTCTTCTCTTTTCCATTCTCAAAAAGTATGAACCAGACTTTAGTTAGTATAACAACTAAAATAGAAATTAAATACTTACATGAGGCAAGAATCTGTTTATTATGGATGAAAAGAAAAACAAGAGAGGAAACATTATTAGTAAATTTTAAATTAAATAATTTAATATATTTATAAATTAATTTTTTATAATTTCTCTACTGATATTGTCAAATTGTCTAATTTATTGATATATGTTTTGTTCTTTATTATTTAAAAAATATATAAATTTTAATTTCAAGTGAAACATTTTCAAAAAATTTTTCAATAGGATTAAAAGTATTTAATAATTATAAACTATAATTATTAAATATTTGATCAGTTTTAAAAAATGTTTATATTTTATGCACAAATACATTCAAATTAGCCTATTATGCTATTTATTTTTCAACAAAAAGTCAATTTTTACCTTTAAATAATGATTCAGTATTTATATGAATTAATTATATTTTTATTTAAACATTGAAATCAAAATTTTTAAAAAATCATATAAATAATTTTATAAAGTAATTATTTATGTATACAATATGGAAATATATGTTTTTCTTCTATACAGAACTATACATAAACTCAATATTTGAAATTGGATATTTTTTTTTATTTAGNATTATAAATTATTTTATAAATATATATTTAGATTTGATTGGATATTAATGAAAAATCATATATTCTATCCTATTACTAATTTCCATTTATTCTGAATAAATCCTCAAAGCTTTTTGCATGCCTTTATAATATTACTATAAGTAAAAAAAAAAACAAAAACATATTTTAGAAGTTAGAATTATATTAATCCAGCATTTATGGAATGAGAATGGTGCTGGATTATCATAAGTGCCAAATTTTAAACAATTTCGTGTTTTCACAAAATTTGTACAATTACATATTATGACATTTATATACTCTATTCTGGGAAAAAAGTGCATGTCCTGTCAGTCTATAAAACATGCTGAAGGAATTGGGCTTATCATGCTGTAAATTTAACATTACATTGCACCACTCAAATCATTGTATGGCATCCTGTGAATGTTCTATTGTTTGCTAATAGCAGCTGAAAGAGTAAATGTCATAGCAAAGTAATACAAGTACTGTATCTGTGTATTTGTGTATGCTTGCAGCATACATAAATATACCAGGTACTTGTATTACTTTACAAATACACAATTTGTATATTGCCCAAGCAATGTCAGACTCATCTGCTATTTTCAATAAAGCGAACTAACTACAGTTTCCTTAGCAATTCATATTAATACAAGTTGACTGTATATAAATTTAACAATTTCTTATTTGAACTTTAATCAAAAGTTTACAATAAAATTTATTTAATGAAACTGCATCACAGAATACAATTTAACCAAATCTATCAATAAAATGTCAACTACCAAAATGATGTATTCAAATTCTTACAATGAATCACAATAAAAAGTTAGTAACCAATTAATTACAATCTTAGTATAAAGCAAAATTAAATATTTTTTTATTTTCAAATAAAAAACATTTTTCATTAGTATTTAACTGTACTGTCAAATAAACTTTTATTGGAAAGTATTAATAAAATTAAACAACACACATATAAAATGATGTGCATGATTTATATATATATAATCATCATCAGACAAGAGTTTATCATGATATATATAAGCAGTACTGACAGTGAACATGTTAATTATTAAATTTTGATTTAATAATGAATATAATGAATGAAAAGAATATTTACCTTGGACAAACTAATGACACAGACACTGGAGAATCAGGAGATGGCCAGACATGTAACTGCTCCTGTGTTGAATTCTAATTTAACAGAGTAAAGAAAAAGAATAATTTCCTGAAATTATAAGGGTTGTAAATGTTTCTGTATTGTATAATTAAACATTTAATAGATAAATCTATTATGATTCAATTAAAATAATTTATTCACAGTTTTGTAAAGGAAAATACCTTTGTTGAATGCAAAATATATTTTCAATTTATGCACATTACATTTCCTTAATCATCAAATATTTATGTAAAAAATACTGGTAAATACTGTCTTATATTTATGAATAATTCAATTATTTAGTTCACATTTTAATTGTTTTTTTCAACTTAAACTAAAATCAATTAGCATGTAGCTAAATTTCCCATTAATTAAATTAAATCTGTATTGATGTATCTGTAATACAATATACATTATCTGAATAATCTCAGATTCAACTAGATATTAAAATATCATTTTCAAAAGCTCACCAATAATACTGATAACAAAAAGTTTACATGTTAAAATTTGAAAACTTTTTTGATATGTATAGAATATATATTGAAATTTTATTAATGACCAAATTTCTTATATAACTCAGATATAAAACTAAACAAGATTTTACTACATTTTTTAAATAAGAAAAAAATTAAAAAAAAATATATATAAAAATATCACAAATATAAAAAAACTTTGTTTTTATTTTCCATCATTTCAACACACCAGTGACAGCCCAAAACAATTTTCACATACAAAGCCCTTTATATTACCCTTTGATATTTTTATACTGTATTTAAAAAAAAAAATTTTTTATGTTCTTGAAACCGTGTCGGTGATTATTTTTGTTGTTTTGAACACCATATAGTGTAGATATACAAACACTAGGCAATCTTCATTTTAAATTTATTCTATTTTTAGTTGATTTGGTTCAACTAAAAATTGAATAAATTAAAAATGAAGATTGTCTAGTGTTCATATATCTACACTATATGGTGTTCAAAATGACAAAATTTTTTAAAATGTAAATACCATTGGCCAAGTTTTAAATTTTTACTTAATTTAAACAAAAAAGTTTATCTTTTAAGACATTATTTGTTACATAATTCTAAAATTTGTTACTCATTTTTTGAAAATAGAAAAAAATAAGCAGTAGACATTTTTTTGCTGATACATATTACAGTGACTAATTGACTACATTTTAAACACTAATCTAATAAAAAATTTTTTTATTTAATTATCAGTTACTTCAAACAATTATTAACAAATCATTTATACAATAATTTAGACTGACATTCATTCTTTCTCTACATTCAATCAATTAGTTATTAAACCAATTCATTAGATATTTAAGTTCTGTAATAATGTTTTTAATGTAATGTTCAATAAATAAGATTTCTTTAGGAAAGTCTGTTCAATTTCATGAGATCTACTGGTATTTGTAAAATTTTAGGTTAAATATCAATTTGGTTTCTTCAGATTTTAATATGACAGTCTCAATAAAATTTTATTGATAGTTGTTGCTAATAAAATAGTTTATTTTATTGCACAGTATATGCTTAAAAAAAAGAAAATTTATTAAATTAACAACCAATACTTTAAATCATACAAAAAAATAAATTTTACTATTTAAAAATTTATATATGACTACCTGAACAGAAGCTTGACAACTAGTACACTGTGTATCATCTAATACTTTGTTACTTGTGCCTTTGATATGATGTATTGTAGGAAAACAGGAATTTGAATAATCACCCTCATTACTAGGAAATAAAAAAAGATTTTTTGTAATTAGCTTTATAAAATGTATATCTATTTAACAAATAATATGGATCAATAAATCAGAGATCATTCTGATCTCATATTTTGAAAATTTTATGAATATTTATTAAAATATTTAACAAAAAACTAAATTTTACAATTTATTAACACCTTTTATTCAATTCTTAATAATTAAATTGTTATAGTAAACTTACATACAGAAAAATTAATATTTTTCTTATATATAATATTTTCAAACAGATATACAAATACTTTCTCTCAAAAATCAGTAAAGATTTAATAAAGCAGTAAACTATGTATATTACTAATAAAAACAAAGCTATAGTGACAACTTTCCAAATATTTTTGGATAAATATACAGTACTCATTTTCAGAGTTTTAACAACAATGTTTAACTTGTGTATTAATGGGTAATGTAGATCACAATTATTGATTCCATAGCAATAAGATCAAGAATACATGTGTAAAAATTAAGTACAGTTGTTACAATACAAAAATAGAAATTAAAAATATGTTTTCAGTTCTGTTTCTGAATTTGCTTTTGACCAAGAGAATATACATGCACAAAATCATATGCAATATATAAATAGAAACATGAAATCACTGCTATCCATATATTGTATTCACATATTGCTTTTTGTCTGTTAAATTGTTTTTATGTTAAGTTTTTGTCTTACACAGTTTAGTATCAAACATATCTGATAAATTCTTTAATTTCAGATTACTCTTGTTTCTGCACATACAAACTGACTATGATACTTGCTGCCATTATTTAAATGGAAATGTCATCATAAAAAAATTATTTTATTGACTAGCACCAACATAAAATTTTTCAATATGCAAAAAATACAAACATATTCTCTACTTCAAATTTCTGTTTAATTTTAGCAAAAATTTCAGAAAATATTTTTACATTTTTATTTCTATCCACAATCATGTTGTATTTTATGGATGTGGTGTTCTTAGTTTAACATTTAGACAATATAGAGATACAGATTATGAAATTCAAAACTAAACTACATACATACTTATTTTTGAATTTATCTACCCAAAGCAAAAGCAATGAGCTGCTGTGAGATTGGCTTAAATGTAACTCATAAGCATCAATATGAAACTTTGTTGTTAAAACTCTAAAGATGTTAATGTTTTCCTAAAATTATCTGGAAAAACTTTATTATGGTTTTTTTTTAATTGATTTATAATGTTACTAGTTCTCTTATAGTTTTTCTTACTTGACTTTTAAAAATAAATGGATATATTCAATTATCACTATTTTAAAAATAAATTTCTAGTTTTGTTTTTTCAATACTTTAAAATTTTTTGGAAATATTTTCAATATAAAATAAAACTCAAATATTTTGATTTTCTGTATTTTGTAAAATTTATAATAAAATTATTAATATAGTGTATTTACCATTTATATATATATTGAATCAANAAATAGAATATTACTAATTCTTTCAACAAACCTGAATCATCTCAAGAATTTTTAAATACTTTTTCTAGAACTGTCAATAATTGCATTTATTCTACTCAATTTAGCCAACATACTAATGAAAATATTTACAAATTAAAGACTAAATAGTATAATTTTCATATTTAATTTCATTATTTTATGCCATATATTAAAAATATATCTTACTCTTTCTTTGAAACATTACTCAAATCCAAAGTTAAGCTTGCTTTTAATTTAAATTATTTTAAATGTGTTGTACATGCATTTGCTTTTAGTAAAAAAAAATTGCTAACAATCTACACTATTTAACAGAGAAAATGCCACATCTTAAAGAAATGCTTGAAAAAGTAAGTTGTAAATAAATAATTTTAATTTTGAGATTTCATATCAATCTAGTGGCCAAACAAACAGGATAACTCATCCTGACTGAATAAGTATTATGAATCCCGTATCTGGCAATACCATTTTGCACAAAGCAGGCACTGAATTTCTAAGTCCTTAAATTGTTTTCTGCAATACGCTTCTTGTCTAGTCTTGTGTTCAACTATAAAAGCAATATAACAGCTTAAAAACTTTGAAATGTCTCTAAACAGTTATATCACATGGAGTTGAAAAGGGACTAAATGCCCAAAATGCATACTCTTCAGAGAAATAAAGATATGATTTTCTAAAGTTTGTCCTCTCTCTGACTGATTGTGTAATAAGTCTAGCGAAAAAGAAAAGCCATTATAGTGCTAGTATAATTGTTCCTTAAATTGTGTCCTGAAAAACTGCTGACCATGAAGTATTGACTAGCATCCACAATTCAATTTCATTTCAAGTGCATCACCAGATAGACATTAATTCAATGGCCAATAATGCCTCATAGATTCTCAATTGGAAAGGAATCATGCTGTCTAAAGGAATACTTGAACACCTTACAGAAACTGTCTGATGATGTTAGCTGTGTGGCTATGCACTGTGTTGAAAAATGGCATTTGGTATACTCTGAAGATACAATAACAAAGCAAGCTGCAGTACCTCATTAATGTATTCGTATGTCATTATTATATATCCAAAGCTGATCACTTCTAGTATATTACACTAGTATATTACATATACTAGATGTGATCAGCTTTTGATGCTGACAAACCTCAAACCATGACATCACACTGACAAGCTGTGCGACACACAAATGGTAGAACGATCAACCCAATGGTCGCATTGTCTCCAGATTCTAAATCAGTGATCATCAGCACTCAGGCAAGACTTGTCAATAAACGTGACACTTCCACTCATCATAACAAGCAACTCTGGTATGATACCCACTATAATCATTCACAACAATGGCTTGTGGTGAAGGCAGTCTTCACGGAGGATGGTGAGACTGCAATCCAATCTAAAGTAATAGTCTATGTTGATATTGGAACATTCAAATTTCCCTGTTGAATTTGTTGAATGCAGTAATCAGTGCATTCTGATGTTCATCTGTGTGCTGAAGTCCCTCAATGATAATTCATATTTCCATCTTCTAACCACTGTCTCCAAATTTGACCCACAAATGTTGCAACATATATTTCCAGAAAATAAGACGTAGAGACCAGCCAGCTGTATATCATCCTATAATGAATCCTCTGGTAAATGAATCTTTAAAAAGTTCTCATCAACACATTTTCCATCTCTTAAATTTTATTCAAATACAGAAAACTGTATAAAAAAAACTTCTTTTTGCAGTCATAAGAAAGACACAAAAGTTAGATTAACATACAGGTTTTTTTCACCTATTTTGCTCCCATATCATGTGAGGGATTGTAAAACTGAAATAATTTGTGAAATAACTCACCTGTCAAAATGTATATTGCAATTTGCATTGCATTGCAACAAAATCTTCATAGTGTGGCATTTTCCTATCAAATAGTGTATTTTAAAAAAGTTGATCATTAAAAATTCAATATCTCAAGTATTTGCATTTTTTAAATAATCTTATTTGAACTATGTTTACAGAATGAAAGGTTTTGTGGGTTTAAAATAATTTCAATTGTTTTAATATTTTATAATTATATTTATAACTTAATACTTATGTAAACACATTTAACAAATAATTCATTTTAAAAACTTATGCACATCAAATATAGATTAAGTTTTCATAAGTATTTTAAATTTATACAATATTTTAAAATTATATTTTACAAACCTAATATCATATTTACGCATATATAAAAGACAAGGTTTTTATTCATTTTTCACTGCTTTAATAACCTAGATCATTTTACATGTGCGAGTGAAGAATTCATTTTGTTTTTGCAATAATTTTTGTAAACTGTGTATTTGCATTTTTTACCGGATTCTCACCTTCTAGTGTTTAAAAACAAAAGTGTTTTATCTCGGTCATTTGAATCATTCTTGTGTATTATCAGGAGTAAAAATGAATAGCAATAGGAAAAGCAAAGCTTTTGAATTGAATTCCAAAATTACACAGGAGCCCAATATAAGTTTTAATTCATTCCCACATAAAAACAGATGATTATTTGGAAATCAGAATTCAGAGAAACTCATAAGCGTAATCGATGAAGAGTGAATTCGACTGTTAGGAATTGGCAAAAAAGGTTCCCAATAGATGTCCAGCTTTACATGAACAAATTGTTGTTGATTTTACAAAATTTTTACTTGAAGTTTAAAATGCCAGTAATTTTTGCAGGACAATGTGTGCATTTACATGCATTTGATATTTTATTTTTGATTAAATGAAATAAAATTAGAATTGTATTAAAATCTAATTTTCTTTATTTTGATCTTTAAAGTCATACTTCGTCCTATATGCGAGATCGTCTTATATCCAAGTAAATACAGTAACTTAATTTTGACTTTAAGAAAATAAAATAAAATTAGAAAGATCTCAAATGATCAAGAATTTCAATAAACAAAAATTAATGTAAATATTATGTGCTACAGACTGTATGTAATTCTAGCTTATAACCACAAATTGTAATCATCATTCAAATGAAGTGATGGCTCAAGTTTTTTGTGCAATTATAATTTAAACATTTCTATTGTTAAACAAAAACTAATACAAAAATAGTTAAGGCTAATTGTAAACAATTATCTGTTTAGTTATACATACAATCTCCAGCAGGTGTTAAAAATTTAATGCTTCTATGAAAAATCTTTTTCCAAAAATTCTTAAAAATAGAAGCAGATATATTCGTTTTTTGCTTTAGAATTCTATTCGGTTCAATCTAACTACTACTGTTTTCAGGAATTTTTGGAAAAAGAATTTCCCCTAGAAAAAACATTAAATTTTTAACGCCTTCAGCTGGAAATTGCATGCATAACCAAAAGATTACAATCACTCTTAAGTAGTCTACTATATAAGACATAACATCTAAAAATTGTATTGAAAGAAATTTAAAGAAAATAATATCCATTAGTTCTGTTTGAAATTATAATGTGTAACTTGATGTGTCCCTACAATATTTTAGGCTTTAAACTAGCTCATGATATAATAAGATATTCCTTTTATGATATAAGGTCATAAAGTCATTGAAA